CCTCCTCCAGGCCTGACTCATAGGGCCCCTCGCTGTCACAGTCTGATAGCAGCTCCAAAGGCTCCTGCCGAGCCACAACACTAACCTATAAGCAGAAATAGCCAGGCAGAATAAAAATATTATGTATGGTACAGAAAGAACTACTAGTTTCCTTCCTTTGTCTCCTGTTTACCTCTTTTATTAAGTGGCTAATGTTAGATACTGAGACTGAAGCAATAGGCTTCACCAAGGTCCTCCGTTCTGGTGGGAAAATACTTTGAGCTGATTAGCTGAGCGGTCTGACAGCTCCCTATAAAAGGGCAAGCTGTCAAGACAGGCCAGTGCTGGATCTGTACATAGTTTGCTGAATAAAGAGCTGTTGTTGTCACTGAAGCCTGAGTCCTGTCTCCTCTGTTCACCCTATCTATCACTGCTGACGAAGGTGGGATCAGAAGGCAACTAGGCACAAAAAAGAGCTGACAACGCAATCCAGCAATCCCAGTCAGAGCGATCAACGTTGGGTGCCAAGTGGCCATTTTGAGCAGCAAATTTGAAGTTGCCTTGGCCTGTCACAATGACGACACATGCCCCACCAGCTCCCTATGATCCAGCCATGGAGCACTGGGACTCCTACATGATGAGATTTGAGTGCTTCATGGAGGCCAATGACCTTCTAGGCCTATCAGACAACTGAAAGAGGGCTCTCTTCCTGAGTTACTGCAGCCCTGAGGTATTTGACACTGCAAAGCAGGGGTGGGTTCCTGCCGGTTCTAACCGGTTTGGTAGAAGAGCTTCCAGAAATCTACTGTACCAGTTAGAAGAGTTAATCACGGTATGCCTGCCCCACCCTCCTCGCTTGCTTGCCCCGCCCGTTTCGTCGCCACTCGGGGGTGGTAGCTTGTGCGGCACGGCTGGCCTCCTAGAACCTCCCCAAACTTGTCTAGGAGGTGTGGCCACTAGGAAAGCATGGGGGTGCATCCCAGGGCATCCCCGCCCCCCACTGGTTCCCCGCCTCCCTTCCTGGTGAAGTTTTCCAAGGTGTGGTTTTCCTCCCATCTCTTGTGCCCAGCTCCCGCTGAGTAAGGAGGAGAAGAGCCTTTGGGGAGTGAAGAGGAGGAGGAGGGAGGAGGAGGCGCATGCGTGGGGCCATGCCAGCTGGGTAACCGGCAACTGGTGGAGACAGGAAGGTTCTCGGGAGCGCCGAGAACCTTCCTGCCTCCGCTGGACTTTGCACTCTTCTCTGTGCTCTCCTTGGGACTGCAATAGATGTCCAGAAGCAGCTTTTGTGGTTAATGGGATTTGGGCTTCCAGCCCAACAGCCCCCACTGCTTCTGTGTAAATATGTTTTATTTCCATTTCATTTCGTACAATCACATGTATACTGTGCATAACCGGGGCATATAACATTGAANTCATAAAGAACTTCGTGGTGATACATGTGGACGCACCTGGCATGGAGGAGGGGGGCCCGGCTTTCCCTCTGGGGTGTGCCTTGCACCCTCCTGCCCCACCTGCAGTGTTGGGTGCGAAGGGGTCAAGCTGTCTAATGCAGCCCCTAGTCTCTCCTCCCTTTCTAGGCATCAGTATCCTTCTTTGGACCAGCTGGATGACATGATCCCCTGCATCTTGCAATATTTCAGGTGAATCTGGAGAGGACAATGTGACATGTGCTTGTCAGGACAGGGAAGAAAGTCTTGCTTTGAATTTGGTTCCAAAATGCTTCTTTGGAGGACATGAAACTGAAAATATAATACCTGTCTGCAGCTATTTAGAGTAGTCATGTCTTAATATTCTCTGTCTTCTTATCTGAGATCACATAGCAGCTGCAATGGGCAACTGAACAATCTTGGGAAAAGAGGTGGCTGCTTTAAAGAGCTGAAGACAGATGCTATGTTCATTCTTTAAAGCATGGCAAAGCCCTACCAACTGGTATTTTACTGCTTGTGAAATGTAGATATAGTAATTTATTAGAAGATGGTTTAGAGCATGGGTGTCAATCTCGATCGCTTCACGTGATGTCATGTGACATATCACAATATTTTTTTTTGCCTTTGTGGAGCTGGGGTGGGTGTGGTCTACACGTGATGCATCCAGCCCACAGGCCGCCAGTTTGACACCCCTGGTTTAAGAGGCACCTTAAAACCTGATGATTGATTATGGACTAAGTTGTCAATTTTTTAAAAATATTTTTTTTATTTTAAATACAAATAATACAAACATAGTACATATACATCTAAATATAAAAAAGGAAAAAATATTACAGTGCACCCCCCTGAGACCATTTTTCCCCTTATATTTCTTCTTCTATAACAACTAAAAGATATACAATATATTCCAATTACGCCCTTATCACCTCCAAAACAACATATATTCTTGAGTAGGTTTATTCCCTTTGCCTTCCACCAATGCTGTTTTTATAAAATCCACCCCTATTTCATTATAATTGTTTGCTTTAATCATTTAATTTAGCCATCACTAGTCTAGCTGCCATTATCAAATTTACAATCAATTCCTTTTTTGTTTCATTTATATCCCCTTTTTCCACCAGCAACTATAATGCAATCCTCGGTGACATAGCTAAATTTACATTCAAAAGTGCTCTAATTTCTCTAAACACCATGTCCCATATTTTTTGTATAAAAATGTATAAATTCATTTAAAAATCTCTTTAATCTTTCTGCCATTATTGAAGTAAATATCTTATAATCCACGTTTAACAGGGAAATCGGTCTATAGTTTTTAATCTGTTGCAAATCTGAATCTTCTTTCGTTATGAGGGTAATATATGCCTCCGTCCACGAATTTGGTATATTCGCCTCTATCAGTAATTCATTAAATACTTCCAGCATTGTATTGCTTATAACATCTTGCAGTGTTTTATATAACTCTGCTGGTAATCCATCTGGGCCCTGTGTTTTAACATTCTTTTGTCTTTTAATTGCCAATTCCATCATTGTTATCCTTTCCTGTAATGCCTTTTTAAATGTTTCTGGTATTGTTGGTAATTCAGCTTTTTCTAGGTATTGTTTTGGTTTTTCTCCTGAAATTGTCTCTTGTTTATATAATTTTTCATGGATCATTTTCTTTTTCTCAGCGTTTTGATAACTTACAGCCCCTTCATCATCAATTAGTTGATAAATTAGCTCTTTCTCTTTTTTCAATTTATATCCCAACCATCTTCTTGGTTTATTTGCATTTTCAAAAAAAAAATGTTTGGAACTTTTAATTTTTTGTGCTAAATCCTCTTTTTCTATTAGATTCAGTTTATGTTTTTTTCAAATCCATTTAATTTCTTACATTCTTTTTTGTGGATCTTTTTGTAATTCCATCTCTAACTTCTTATACCCCTCTTTTAATTTCTTTTGGGTTTGTCTTCTCTTTTTATTTCTTTTTCCCACGTATGCCATTGACAGTTCTCTAATATATGCTTTAGCTGTGTCCCATATGTTTTGTGGTGACTTTTTTTCTTTTCTGTTTTCTTTTTTTTTTAAAAAGACCAACTCTTTTTCCATAAACTGTAAAAATTCTTTTTCGTTTAAGATTGTTTGATTTAATGTCCATCTTAACTTTTTTCTTTGTCCCTTCCATATAATTGTCATCAGATTATGATCTGCCCATGTACTTGTTTCAATATTTATTTCTTGTGTATTAGATAATAAATCAGCTGACATGCACATCATATCAATTCTAGACCAAGACATGTGTCTATTTGAATAAAATGTATATTGACTTTTCTCTGGATATCTTCCTCGCCATGCATCTTGAATACCTAATTCTTCCACCATTTTAAAGAAAGTTTTTGGAAGTTTTTTCCTAGGTTTCTTATTTNATTTACAGCCTTCCTTCCACAATCAAAGAGTTTAAATCATCACAAAATGTGGTTGCTGTTTTATTCATGTTTTTTGGCCCTTTAATAGCCTCCACTCAAAATTAGCAATACCAGATCTGAGTTGCAAAAGACCAGATAGTCACAAAGTGGCAGAAAAGAATTACAAAAAGGTAATTTTTGCTGTCCTAACTAAAAGTGCAATTCTAAGTAAAAAGGAAAACACCAATTCTACACCAATTTTCTTCAGTCCAATACCATGTGTCGGGGCCTCTTTTAAAATTCAGTTGCACCATTTCTAGAAGACCTCAAGTTTAGAAAATGTTGCTCCATCACAAAAGTACTGATTTTTGATATTTTTAAAAAAATGTATTTACCCTTTAAAATTAAGATTCCACATTCAAACTCTGGTAATGACATTTTAAAAATATTTTTACATTTTCAGTGTGATTTGCAGCCTCTTCTGTATTTCTCTCTCCACATATGTGGTTGAATCCTCCCTTTATGGCTTCCCTCCTTCAGTTTTTCTTACTTGGAGGCATGGAAGGTGCCTAATTCAGATTTACCTAGTCTTCTGAACATTTTGCTTTCTTGTGAGACTTGTTTGTGGCAAATACTGGAGCCCTTTACCTATTTCCTCAATGTTGCTGAATACAGGAGGATATATTTCTCAATAAACATGCTCAGGGTTGCCTTGCGAAGCAAAATATCACAAAACACATTGATTGGCACCCAGGAAACTATGGCTACTTCCCAGTAGGGTTGTCCCTGTTTTATTAGGCCTTGCCCGTCTGATGGCATGACCACTTGCCCTTCTGCAGCCTGACACCCCCTTCTTCTGTCTCCTCATCCCCACCCCCACCCCAGATCATTCGTGCTTCGACACTCTCTTCCACTATGAGGACATGCAAGAGATCATAAAGAACTTCGTGGTGATACATGTGGACGCACCTGGCATGGAGGAGGGGGCCCCGGCCTTCCCTCTGGGGTGAGCCTTGCAGCCCCCGTTCCTGCCCCACCCGCTGTGTTGAGTGCGAAGGGGATCAAGCTGTCTAATACAGCCCCTATTCTCTCATCATTCTAGGTATCAGTATCCTTCTTTGGACCAGCTGGCTGACATGATCCCCTGCATCTTGCAATATGTCAAGTGAGTCTGAAGAGGATGATATGACGTGTACCTGTTAGGATAGGGAAGGAAGTCTTGCTTTGAATTTGATTCCAATATGCTTCTTTGGAGGACGTGAAACTGAAAACATAATACCTGTCTACAGCTATCTAAAGCAGTCATGTCTTAATATTCTGTCTTATCTGAGATTGCATAGCAGCTGCAAAGGGCAACTGAATAATCTTAGGAAAAAAGGTGGCTGCTTTAAAAAGCTGAAGACACATGCTCCGTTCATTCTTTGAGGCATTGCAAAGCCCTACCAACTGGTATTTTACTGCTTGTGAAATGTAGTTAGAGTAATTCATTAGAAGATGGTTTTAAAACCTGATGATTGATTACTGACTAAGTTGTCATGATGAGGCCCATATCTAAATGGGTATTTAAAG